CCGAAAGTTTTTCGAGCTCTGCAAGATCAATGAATTGACATGCGCGTACATGTTTTCGCAGGCGCATCTCCAGAAAAACACGCACAAAAAGTTTTTAGTCTCGTCGAAATATCAAATATATGTTGTGTTTTCTTGCTTAGACTGCAAATATATTTAGTTTTGCATGCTAACTCGGGATAACGCCATGAAACAGGTGATTGTGTCGTTTGGTATAAGATAAGTGTGGCATGTATGAACTTTTTGGCTTCTGTACATAGTCATATTCGTTTTCAGTCGTAACTTGTGTGTTTTCATGTTGTTGTTGATAATTTTAATTAAACAGTTTGAGCCGGCGTATGATGATGTTTGACTGGATTCCTTTGCTGTTAGTGAAACTTTGAGTACATTTACCAGTTGTAAGTACAAAAAACTCTGGATATGAACTTATAAATCGCGAAATATTGGAGTAAAAAACGTTTCGCCGGTCGGGCCGATCGCCAGTTTTCACAAGAGTTCGAACTTCAAACATTGCATTTTTTACCTTAAAATATCTTCTAAAAAGACTAGCTATTCAATGTTCAGGGCTAAATCAGGACGAAGTTTGTTCTTTGAGAACAAATGAGAACAAAAAAGACTCAAAACATCAGAATAAACATAACTTGTGATTCGGATTTTTAATAGACTGAAAAAGTTGTATTTGTTATTGCATATATTTGTAATATTTTCGCGCGAAACTCAAAGTTAGGTACCAGTCCCCCGATGATGAAAAGTGTATGGAGCCACCTTAAAAGGTCTCAAAACTGTTTATTCTACCGATAAATAAAGGGTTTTTTATTGACTGGGATTTCAATAACTCGGACTGGGATTTCAAATAAAAATCCAACTGGGACTGGGATTTTGCCAACATATCAGGTGGAAAATGGGATTGCCCCCCCCCCCCCACACACTTCAGGACCCTCACTATAGGCTAATGACTCGGCAAAATTACCAAACAACAGTCGGCAAAAGATCACTCACACCCCCCGCCCCCACTCGAAGAGGGTTAGCGCCGCCCCTGTTCTTAGTAGAAAGAGCACTCTAGTGCAGTTCAGACCCGAAAACGAAGCTCTGATTAGCAGAGAAAATAAAAAAAGCTGACTGTGATTGTAGGCTTTGGCGATTTCAGAAACCGGCATATTTTAATTAACTTAGGTCCTTGGACAAAAACTCGCATAGCGGTTGTAAAAACCACGTTTGAACGATCTTAACTCCAGTTTCGTAGTTAGGATAGATGAGAGTATCGACGGTAGAAATATAAGAGAAATCTATTTTTGAAGCCCAGATCGAGTGGTCTGCTCTTACAGAGACGCCTTCTTAAAGCACTTGTAGTCGTGTTTTATCACATATAAAACACTCCGCTACGCGTCGTGTTTTATATGTGATAAAACACTCCTACGCGTCCCAC